GCCTATCCATGGGCGAAATATCAAGTCGAAATTCCCTATTTTGATTTTTTCGTGAATACCTGGAAATGGGTCGAAAATTCAATAAAACGACCATAACTTTTGAAGGAAGAACATTGGGCAAAAATTGCTTTAGGCTTTTTACTACCTCAATATACTCGATTAAATGAGATACGAACAAATCAAAACGGAGGGTGTTATCTGAAAAGGTTCCCTCGTTAGTGAAACCGTTTTCTAAGCTAAAATAAGCAGCTTATTTGAGTGAAGCGGCTTTTAGCAGGTTAAGACGGGAATATTTAAGCGCTTTACAGCAGCTTATAGACGCATAAGCCTTTTAAAGCTGCTTGCAAATAGCTTACAAAGGCAAAAATTTTCACATAGGATAATTGTTGGAGAGATTTTCAAATCGAAACTCCTTCTTGCGATGTCCTGAAATAAGCTGAAAGTTCTGCAAAATGCCTATAACTCGAGAAGAAAGGTCTTATGGCACCAATCCTTTGAGTAATTTTATCTACACTCAAGCGGATAATATCAGTCTGATGAGTTTCCTTGTCAGAAATAAAGTTTTCATTATTTAACGGAACCTCATTAGATTCTTCTTTCTTGCTGTCTTCATATTTAAATGTATCAACAAACCTTTAAGAACAATACCATTTAATTCGTTAGTTATATAATTAAATGTTTTTGGTAACATTCGTTCAAATTGTAATCTTGATACACTATCAAGACCTAAAATGAGTACATTAAAATCATCTTCATTTTTCTTTAGATTTGCAAGTCTTTTTCGAACATTTTGATTATAATGTATTGATGCATAAGGTAAATTTGGATAAAAATTTTGTCGTGTATTATCAATACATTGTACAGTAAAATAATCACTTAAAAGTAAAATATTAAGATCATAAAATAATTTTATTGGAACTTGTTCATATTCTTTATCACCTTCACCGATATAAAATGTAACAGTACAATTAAGATGTGGTAAAATAAGTCGTATATTATAATTATCTATAACAATTGGATAAAACCATGATCGACATATTGGTTGAAGAGCATTTGATATAGTAAAATCTAACGTATTACTATTCAATGATAATCGGGGAAAATGACACTAAAATAATATATAAATTAATTAATTCAATACTAAAGAAAAAAGATATTTTCTTATACTTACTTGAATAATTTCATTTTCAACTGTCACACTTTTTGATAATAAATTTGATATTATATTACTATTCCATTGATTATAAATAAATACTATAATTGAAAAAAGAACTAAAATTATATATGTTATAATCGATTTATAATTCCAATTGTTTGGTATGAATAAAACATAAATTGATTGTTTAATAATATATCTTAATAAGTATGAAAATTTTTTAAATAAATGAATTAAATATCGATACATGAGATATTCTTTTTCTAAAATATTCAAATAAACTTTAAAACTATACAACAAATTTACTTGATCTTAAATGAACTCCTTCTTCCTTTCTGGATGTTAAAAACATTTTTTTTTTACTTTTAGCATAGCTTCCAATGGTTCTCTGTCAAATGTCACATAAACGTGAGCTCTTCATTGTAAATTCGCAATTTTATTAAACTCAAATTTCGAAATCTCTAGCAGATAGACTGGTACTGCAAATATTCTTTGTATATAAAGTTCTTTTAATAATAATTTTTAAAGGTGCAGACAGCATGATTCGTAAATCTTTAACACGGTAAGTTTTCGATCATTTTCGTCGGAGAAAAATGTCTGGATACATACACGAAAATTTGTTTTTCGGTTTTCTCGAAGTCAATTTTTACATGAAAAAAAAAGGCTAAATTGTTACAGGTATTAGACAGTGTTTTGGCGATGTTTACTTTGATTTTTGTTTTGCAATATGAATTTTTGGTAGATTTTATAAAAAGTAGCATGTATTTTGGAATTACGCTCAGTATTTTGATCTTTTTATTTGAATGGAAGAAGATAAAAAGAAATCAGAGAAAGATTACGCACACATAATAGTGCCTAGTATCTGTAAAAAGAAATCTGCTAGCTCCATCGGAATTATTGTAGCTGAGAAACCGGTACGATTTTTAGCGTTTGCAATCCAGATATTTCTTAAAAGAAAATATTTAGGAGTTTGAAGTCTAGGACAACTTTTTTCCCAAACGTTTTATAACATATACATTTATAATCATTTTGTTTTATTTATGAAGAAAACAGAGAAAGTGAATAAAACATTTTTCT